TCATCTCTTCCCACAGATGAAGACTTTGTTTTCCGTGCACTTCGTCTGGAAAAAGTCCATGTATATAGTGACCTTTTGTGTTGTTAAATAAGGTATTGGCTGTAAACAAGTCATTGATTTTACAAAATGCTATTGTGCGACCTCTAGCTTAATTTTATCCCCGAGTCCCTGTTTTCCAACTATTATTCCTTCCTCTTTGTTTCCAACTTGTGCATTCAATCACCATTAATTATTAATGCATCTTGATTGAATGTTTCATCAATATCAAACTAGTCATCAGTGGAATTCTTCAATTTTTTTTCACTAGCTTTGGTGATTGGTGCCTAAATTTGGATAATTGTCTTCATTGGATTTCCTTGTATATAGATAGATATAATCCTATTAGAGACAGTATTTCATTTCAAAATTGATTTTGCAATATCTTTTTTTGACAATGAGTGCCATGCCATTCTTCTTGTGTCATTTCTGGCATGGTGAATAATGTGATTATCTGATACGAAATGGCCGGTACCAGTCCATTTCAGCTGACCAAAGACTAGGCTATGACACATTTCCTTCCGGGTTTGTGTGGAGAAGTTGTCGGCGCCCCATTTCTTTTTCTTTTTTTAATCATTTTATTAGGGGCTCATACAACTCTTATCGCAATCGATACACACATCAATTGTGTAAAGCGCATTTGTACATTCATTGCCCTCATCATTCTCAAAACATTTCCTCTCCACTTAAGCCCCCGGCATTAGGTCCTCATTTTCCCCCTCCCTCATGAGCCCTTGATAGTTTATAAATGGGTATTTTGTCATATCTTGCCCTGTCCGACGTCTCCCTTCACCCACTTTTCAGTTGTCCGTCCCCCAGGGAGGAGGTCACATATAGTTTCTTGTAATCTGTTCCCTCTTTCCTCCCCACTCTCCCTTTACCCTCCCTGTATCGCCACTCACACCACTGGTCCTGTAGGGCTCATCTGCCCTGGATTCCCTGGATTTCCAGTTCGTATCTGTACCAGTGTGCATCCTCTGGTCTAGCCAGAAGCGCCCCATTTCTTCTCCCTTCCTCCCACATCCACCCTCCCTCATGAACCCTTGAAAAGTTATAGATTCTTTTCCCCATATCTTACATCGTCCTCTGTCACCCTTCACCCACTTTTCTTTTATTCATCCCCCTGGGAGGAGATTCTAGATGGATCCTTGTCATTGATTCCTCCTTTCTTCCCCCACCCTCCCCTAATCCTCCTGGTATCTCTACACTCCTTGTTGGCCCTTAGGGGTTTATCTATCCCGGATTCCCCATGTTGCAGGCTCTTATCTGTAGCAGTGTGCATGCTCTGGTCTAATCTGATTTATAAGCTAGATTTGAAATCATGATAGTGGGGCGAAGAAAGCATCATAGAACTAGAGGAAAGTTGTGTGTTTCATGGTGCTATACTGCACCCTGACTGGCTCATCTCTTCCCTGTGACCCCTCTGTGAGGGGATGTCCAATTGTCTACAGATGGGCATTGAGTCTCCACTCCATGCCACCCTCATTGGATATATTTGGGGTCTTCGTTGCCTGAATCCATTTGTTTTTAATAAGCTACACACTTTAAATATTTAAAGCATCTTTACTTTTTTTTGGTTTCTTAAGATTCTTAATAATAAAGCAAAAGAAAGCATATTCTAAAAATATTTCATAATTATTAACTAAATAATTAATCATTATAATATATCTATATTATATATCAATAATATATCATATATCAATATCTACTCTTATAGGATAAATGCTGCAACATGGAATATTCCCATTGCTGATGTTAATAAGACCCAACGTGATTTATAGTCTAATTCATCCAAAAATTTTTAGAAGTTTTAATTACGCTATTTAGTTTAATAAATTTAATATAATTATGACACTAATGGTTTCAAGTTACATAATTCATAAATCTATTGTTATCTTTACTTCTAGATTTTCTTTCACATTTCTGTACTATCTGAAAATCCTATTGGTTATAGATTCTGTAGAAATCCCATTTCTAGCCACTATATCCGTCATCACTTTCCTCATTTTACCTATCAGTATATCTTCCTAGAACTACTAAAGTATCATTTTGCTGGTTTTCTTACCTCACACAAATCCACCCAAAACCTACGGCCTGTCTAATTATTTTTAGCTCATAGCTACACTGAGTAGAGTTATAAAGACTGTAAATCTTTTTTAGATTAGATGACTTAATACATATTTTTTCATATCGCAGTTGGAGGGTTTGAACTGCGTGTCACAAAATTACCAGTCCCACACTTACTTGACAATGCCGTCAGGGTTCCTTTTACACAGATATTCTACCACTAAAATTATAATTGGTAAACATCAATGAAATTCGTCACTTTTATGCTTAAATCTCTTGAACGGGTTCTTGTGACATTGGGGGTACATTAACAAACTCTTCCTAAAGCTAACAGGGTCTTACATGATTTTCCCTCCTCCTTCCAGTCTTTGCTCTGAACTATCTCCCTCTTTCTGCTGCCTTTCTGAAAAATGCCATAAACCGTAGACACATATAACTTTAATAAAAAGTAAAAGGGATATACAATAAAGGGCAGATCAGTACATCATGAACATGGCAAAGAAAGACATTGGGTGGTAGAGAAGTAAAAGGCAACAATAAGAAATACTGTAACATACACGATCCAGCAATAGCAGTAATAATAAACAATGACTGACAAGTGAGGTACATACATAGATAAGAAAGCTGAACTGCTGAGGATGGAGATTGAGAGTAAACTCACAGTCTTACCAGGGAACATTGAAAAGTTCATGGAAAAATTTTTAGTATCTTTGAATTTGACTTGTCCATGAATCATCTTGAAGTTCCCCTATATCCCTACATACAACAAATGTATCCATGTACTCAGTAAAGTGTGCAGAAAGGAAGAGTATGACACTTACTAGCCACAATCAAACATATTGAGGGACTTACAGGAATAGAAAGCTCCATCTCTTTTGGCTGGTGGTTTAAAACTGCAGACCTTGTGGATCACAGTCCAGCATGTAACCAGTAGGACACCACGGCTCCTCTGAACAGTGACTGGGGTTTTTTAATCTTTTAAGCAGTCCTATGCTGTGCAAATAATGGTTTCTCCTTACCCAGAGCAAATAAGAGTAAAGAAAATCAGACTCAAAGGAAAAAAATACTACCTTGAAGTAATGGACAGCATGAACCAAGACCTCCATTATCCTAGACCGGAATAATGAAATATTGCCTTGATATTGTTATCGACTCTTCTGATTGGATGTGCAATCACAATCTAGTCCAGAGCAAGGTGACAATAAAATGTAGAAAAATTCAAATCATAGAAAGGAATTTATTTATTGGTTTGATAGAAACCAATGAAACCCAGAACTATGACTCTTACACATTCTTCAAACTTGAAAATGAACCTACCAAGGGGGATTATCTTCCAGCCATACAATAGACAGGCCTATAAAGTGAACAATAATAGCCAAGACAAACACACATTTCAGAACCATTGACCAAAGGACATCACTTGCCCCAAAACAATGTTCAGAAGGGAGAGTCACGGAAGAAAGAGAAGTAGATACAAAGAACCTAGAGAGGAACTAAAAGTAATGCTGTCACATTGAGGGGCTTTCTGCTAGTGTCATGAAATACGAGTATAAAGTGTTGAATGAAAAACTAATGCATTGTGCAAAGTTTCACCAAAACTACAATAAAATGTTTTAAAAATGATTCTAAGTTGCTGAACTGGCAAAAAGAAATGCAATAGATAAATGTAAGTGAAGTTATAAATGAATAAGTATTAAATCTTCCACATAGACACATTTAAAAGACTAGGAAATTATTTATGATGTAAGTGGGAAAGTATAGCTAATATTTAATTATCTATAAATAAATTTGAAAAGTATGAATGCTCTTATATAAATATGACCAATAAATACCTGAAAAATCCAAAACAAAACTTTCAAATGGCTACGATATATCCAGGGTGCAGCATGGCATGGATTAAACACATAAGTATCTTTTAATTCTTTAATATTTCTTCCCCTTACTATTATGGCATTAGTTTTACTTCATTAATCTTGTTAGACTTGCGTGTGTTCATTTATTTAGTTAAAATTGTTCAATACATGAAATCCAAGATGGATACACCCTTCAGAAACAGTAACGGGAGGAGTAATTCCCAGAGGGCTTGAGATGAGGGGTGGGGGGAAGAAGGGAAGGGGGCACTAATAGAAATGATGGCCTATTACCCAGTTGAGGGAAATGAATCACAGAATTGTAGGTGGACAGAGACATTGGATGGTGTAGGATGTGGCAAAATAGTAATAATAATAATAATGATATATAAGATAAAAATCATGGTTCCAGATAGGTAGGGTGGGGGAAGGGAGGGGATAAAGGGGAGCTGATGTCAAAGAGTTCAAGAAGGAAGAAAATTTTTTGAAACTGATGACATATAATTTTACAATTATGCTTGATCTAATTGATTTATGGAGGATTATTATAATATCTCTAAGAGTGCCCAATAAAATGATTTTAAAAAATAGATTTAGTACCACTCATAAGAGAGGGACAAATACATGTCTCATTAATAATTTTTAAATTGTTCACAGGTTGAGATGAAAATATTTTGATATATTGGTCTGTTCATTTTTGAATATCACACACAAAAAATAAATTTAAAGTATTTTGATATGCTTTCTAGAAAAAAAATGTACAACTATAACTCATATTCCAGATATATCAGAAGTGTTTCTGTTCTCTATGTTTCATATATAAAGAAAAACACAGAATGAAGAGAATTGAATCAATCCATAAACAAAGCTAATGGCAAATCTGTAAGTTCTAGGATACTGTTCTATCATGCTTTATAAATACCAGTTTCTCATTTAGAGATGTGGAAGCTGCTAAAGTAGAATTTGAGATGTACTGAAATTATTTGACCCTTCATTCAGGGATATCTCACATATCACATTTTCCATAGAAATTATCCACTTTGAAGATTAACTTCCAAATTTCTGTTTAGACAAAAGGCGGCGAATGCCACTTTGAATTTGCTTGGTCTTGATGCTATAGATGATAGGATTCATTAAGGGCGGAAAGAGGAAGTAGACATAGCTCATGATAATGTGGACCACATGTGGCACATTCTTCCCAAACCTGTGAATGAATGTCAGACCAATCACAGTAACATAGAAGACGAGAACACAGCATATGTGGGACATGCAGGTATTGAGAGCCTTGGCTCTCTCTTCAGCAGAGGCAATCCCCATGACAGTCTTAAGAATCAAGATATAGGAGAAGAGAATTATCAGAGAGTCTAGGAAGAATGTTATGGAGACCAGAATCACAGGGTAGATTCTGTTGAAGGTTATGTCAGCACAGGCCAGTTTCATGACTTCTTGGTGAAGACAAAAAGCATGATTGAGAGTATGAGAATGGCAATATGAAAATGAAAAGAGGCGCACAATTAAAGGCACGATGGACATAAAACCCCTCAGAAATATCCCTACTCCCAACTTAACCACCCTAGTATTGGTGAGAACGGAAGTGTATCTCAAGGGATTGCGGATAGCAATAAAACGGTCATAGGCCATGGCAAGCAAAACACCTGATTCGACAACGGAAAGGGAGTGGATGAAGTAGGCTTGCATGAAGCAGGCCCCAGGATATATCTTCCTGTAATTCATCCATAATACGCCCATGACAGTGGGCATCGTGGTCAGGGTCACCATGAGGTCTGTGCCTGCTAGCATGGCCAGGAAGTAGTACATGGGTTCATGGAGAGTGTGGTCGTCTTTAATGAGGTAGAGGAGGGTGCTGTTTCCAAGGAGCACAGAGAAGTAGACTGCACAGAAAGGGATGGAGATCCAGTGATGCGCTGCCTCGAGCCCTGGGAATCCAGTCAACAAAAAGGAGGCAGCACTAGTATTGGACCACATACTCCACAACTGTTTACCTGCAGAAGGAAAGAAGAGATTTATAATCAGTTTTGGAGATATGAAATAATGCACCAAGACTGGGAATCTTTTGGTATTAAACAAAATAAACAAATGCTGACTCATATGACCCTCTATGCCAAGGTAGAGCTGCCTTTGTGGGTAGTTTTTGAGAATGTAACTCTTTGCAGGAGGAGAAATCCTCATCTTTCGCCCTAGAGCCACTGGCCATTTCCAGCTGCTGACCTTGTGGATAACAGCTCCACCTCTAACCACCGTGCCACTTGGGCTCCTTTCTGATATTAAAAGACATGTACATTGAAAGGACATATAAATTATGATTCTCTCACAAGTGTATTCTACTCCACAAAACCATATTTTCCATATGCAATCTTCAAGAAGAAGGGAAAACCAGTTCAGGGAGGTTGAGACTCAGTGGTATGTATTCCGAGGTTTGCCAATTGTTGAAAAGATCTCAATGACTAGTAACAACAACCATAACTAAGACAGCAGCCTCCCAGGGATAAAAAGAGCACAAAGATATAACGTTCCAGATTCATTGAAGAAAATAATTTCAAAATTATTTACTTGGCTTTTAGACTGGAAGAGACTTTATTAATTCAGAAACGCTTATCCGCTTCTTTCTGAAAATTAACTAGGTCTTTTCAGAAAGTACTGATAAAAACTTGGAAGACCAAAAAGGGCATGTGAATTTACTATTTTAAATAACAAGACCATCTTGAGGAAAAGGGAGGCTGTATTTTCTTGCCCGCCTAGGCTTGGCTCAGAAAAATAGCCAGAGAATATTTTTGATGCTCTAAGAATATGAAAAGCTGGTTATGTACTTTTGCAATTAATGGGAAACTTAAGGAGCTATTTGGCGAGGACTAAGAGGGACTCCAATATTTACCCAGCACAGATGTTTGGCGCTTCAAATAGCACAAGACATTTCCATAAGATTGAGGTCCAACATAGTTGTTTTTCTCAGGCATAGGCCATTCTGCACACGTGTTTATCTGGAAAACATATACATTATGCAGGAATGTTTGTGAACTTATAGAAGTAGCATTCCTCTATATCAACTGGGACGACTGGAAACATTTATTTTACTTAACATAGAATTCCTGAGCACATGCGCTGTGTCTGCTCACAGTGTTGACCAGCAATTTATAATTGGTGACACGACAACACTGAAATATTAGCCAAAGTATTATCCATGGAGATCTTCAAAAGGTCCTTGATGCTGAAATATGAAAAGCACAGATCTGAACCATATTAATGGTTTCATTTTGGGTATTCAATAAAGTACATTTTAAGATAACGCCATTTTTCTAAGTAAACGGGGTATAACAACTTACCCCATTCACCCCCTACCAATCACACATACAAATATGCACATGCTTCCATGGGAATAGACAATATACTCTTGTCTGAGAGATTAACTGGCTCCAAATGGTTATGCAAAAATGACATAAGACTGAAAGAACTCTGGGGGATAGGAAGATATCCGAAACTCAAGAGGAAATAGTGAATTCAATATGAAGTTCACTCAAACAAATCAAGAGAAGGCAGCGTGGCTCCTCCTTCCTTTCATTTACCTTGTACATACATTCATGGATCCAAAATGGAAAGGGGACAAGTTGTGTAGATTCTAAGGTGAGATAGTCAGTGCTTGGGCCACATGGTTTTTTTTTTCCCACAGCAAATCCTATTAACCAAATCAATGCCCTTCCAAAAATGCAGTTTTTATAGAGAATTCAATTTCAAACTTTGTTATTTATATCTAACAAAGACTTTATATAAACACTTGACCAGAGGACTGAACATGAGTACACAAAACTGAACGCACGCCATCGAATCCATTCTCTGTAGGACAGTGGGGAACTGCTGCTGGAGCTTTCCAAGACAAAAACTCTTTACTGGAATTGAGAGCCTCATCTTTCTCCCACAGAGCAGCGGGTGGTTTTGAACTTCAGACCTAACGTATAACCACAAGGACATCAGGGTTCCTGGAGCACACAAAGTCGCATTTAATTCAGGGCATTCACTATGCACACACATAAACACAGACACAGATGAGACACATATACATGCTTTCCTACCTTAACTTTGATTCGGCAGGCTTCTGGAAACTCTTTATCTTCCTTCTGTAATACTATCCAAAATCAGAAGAGAGGGAAACCCTTCCATCTTTCTGTTCCTGGAACTCACCACAGTCTCATTTCGAGAATAATGACCTATTTCTGTCTTTATTTAAGATGCCAGGCCAGATGTTCTTGTTTTGAAAACTGCCAAGAGACGCTGCTAGACTCCTAATGGAAGTTAAAAATAACTTCCCCAGAGTGTCAGCTTTGTGGCCACCGGAGACCTCATGATTTAAGGTCTCTCTATCCTTTTTCAAAGCAGAGTTAGTAGCTCAACCAATGTCCTCAGGCTATTCAGGTTTTTTCTCAGGGTGGGAAATTGGGAACTTGAAAGTCAGTTTTTTGTCTGGTTACCAGATTCTTTGGCTTCAGGATTAGAATATCTGTGCATGTCCTTCCAATTGTCTATCTCAAAGGCCAAAAGTATATCAATTACTTTCAGGAGTCTCGTGAACCTCGATTGCTCTTGAAGTTTATGGATTAAAATTGTTCATATGACTTTCCTAGTTCTATGCGTATGTTAATAAACATGAAAATGAGGCTATTCAATTTCTTGTCTTAAAATAAGCATTTTGTTCATATTTAAATCATTTCCCACTTCATTCCATATTAGGGGTGAGTAGTATCGGTCTTTTTTATCACAGAACACAGAGATCTAGCAGGAATCCGCAAGAAAGTATTTTCCATAAATGTCCAAACCACTGCCATTATTCTGTTAGGGGAAGTATGTAGAAGGTATCAGTGAGATAAAGGAAAACTATAGAGATTTTCAGTCACCAGTGAAAGGGAGAGAATATTGTAGGTGATTTCAGGTAGTATTTCTTCACTAAAAAATAATTTTTAAAAGAATTTGAGATGTAGCAAATTCAAACAAAAAAATTTTATTGTAGATACAAGAAAATATGAGAGAATTTGATGAAAAATATTTCTTATCACATACTATCTTACAACTCATGGAATAAATTTTGTTTTATGCTAAAAGCAATTAAATATGAAGTATTGGGGTAATTATGAGATATTTATTAATTAAAGCTTCCTATGAATAAAGTATGAGGAAAGAAGAGAGAGTACATGAGGAGAGTAATATGATATTGTTATCAAATCACTTCAAATTCATACTAACTCATAGCACAATGACTGACTAATCAGAATGATATAGATAGAGAAAAGCCTTTGGGATTTTCACTTGCTAATGGAGCCTGACTCAAAATAAGAATAAACAAGGGCAAAAATCTTTTAATAATTGGAACTTGGAATGTACAAAATATAAATCTAGAAAAATTAGAAGTTGTCACAAATGAAGAGATTACATAAAGATTGATATCCTAGGCATTATTGAGTTGAAATGAACTGGTACTAGACATTTCGCATTATGTAGTCATATAGTTTACTATGCCAGAAATCACAAAATCATGAGAAATGGCATTATATTAATAGTCAATAGAATGCCAGTTTCACGAACAGAACAAGAGGATATTGCAGTGTTTAAAATGTTTAAAAGGTGTGCATCACAGTTAGATTGTTATATTTATTCAAGCTATAAACTGAGCAAATAATTAGAGTAGTTGCTGATGAAGATCAAGAACTATAGTCTTCAGTATGGATTACAACTCAGTGTCAAGAAAAGAAATATCCTCACAACTAGACCAATAGGTAATATGGTAGTCACCTAATCTGATGTCAATTTAAGGATTAAGAGTATAGGGGTGGAGTCTAGGCTGTCAATCTGGAGTTAGGCAATGAGAGATATGTGGGCATGGCCTTCTCCTGAGAATTCTCTCTCTCTCTGCTGCTCCCTGGGTGACACTGCAGAAGACAAGCCACATGGACGTAACCAGATCTCAGAAGGCGGAGAAGCCACAGAGAGACCCTGCCAGCGCTGAGATGTTTCCAATGACACTGGATCCAAAGACATTTTAGCCACTGGCTTGTGATCTTCTGCATTCAACGTCATTGCATGTGTTTCATGAGTCGGAAGAGGACTTTATAGATTGATATCAGAAATATAGCCTAATATTGGACTTATGGACTTGATCTGGGCTGGGCTGGGATGTTTTCTCAATGTTCAGTTGCTCTTGTATATAAATCTCTTTCTTATACACATGCGTGTGTCCATGGATTTGTTTCTCTAGTCTACCCAGACTAACACAGGTGACATCATGATAAATGGAGAAAAGATTGAAGTTGTCAAGGATTTTGTCTGACTTACGTCCATAGTCAATGATTATGGAAGTGACACTCAAGAGATTGAAGGGCATATTGCATTGAGTTAATCTGTTTGCACAAGACCTATTTAAAGGGATAAAAAGTAAGGATATTATTTTGACAACTAAGTTTCACCTGACCCAAGCCATGGTATTTCCTATTGCTTCATATGCATATGAAAGCTAGACATCGAATAAGGAAGATAGAAGAAGAATCAATGCATTTGACCTGTGGTGTTGGATAAGAATATTGAAAGTCCCTAGAAGAATTTATTTCAAAAGACAGCATGGTCAAGGGTAATGTAACAAAGAGGAATTGCTGAAACCCTGGTGGGGACTGAGCATGATAGTGGGACAGGAGAAAAGTCAAGGGAAATAGAGGAAAGAGCTGGGAGGCAAAGGGCATTTATAGAGGTCTAGATAAAG